CTTATCTGAAAGAGCAACAATACCTTGAGGCAAAGCAAAGAATGATTCTCGCAGACTTGCCATGCTAGTTTGCGGAGCAGCCGGCTGCAATGCAGTGTCAATATCTAAGCCATCGCGTCAGAATACCAGGAAGTTTTTTAAGATAAGCTAGAATCTTTAATGTTGTAGCCACAAAGCAGCCTGTGAAACGAGAACAAAATATTTTGGATACATTGCCTAAGAAGACACCTGATGGCATCTGGCATATGCTACCCTGTCCCCGAACGTCTGCAATCCCGCAGCTTGATTACCTGTTGGATTGGCAGTGCAGGTCTGAACATAACAAAAGAACTGCAAAAAGATCTGGCCTGAGTCACTCCAGGCTCCGCTTCCGCCGGGTCCGCCTCCTCCGTTTCCTCCTTGGTGCGGCTCGCGCTCGCCGCCTCCGCAGCCGCTGGCGCCGCCTCCGCAGCCGCTGGCGCCGCTGGCGCCGCTGGCGCCGCCGGGGGCTCCTGCAGAGCTCTGCATCTGCAGACAAATCTGCAGACAAAAACACATCAATGGACATGTTTACTCGCAGCTTCGCATTACTCGGGCGCGAGAAGTTGCAGCTTCGCTGCGTCCTGTGTGTCTGTCGGAACCTGTTCAGCCAATGCTTCTTGGCCTTCGACCGGCCCTGCGGACAGGTTGAGTGGAGCAGCATTTCGTTGCAGACTTCCCAAACTGCAAACTTCGAGCGCAATGGAGCAAAGGGTCTGGCTCAAATCTGAATCAAGAAGGAGAGGGATGCGACGGCGCTTTGCCGGAGCCTGGAGGCTGGGATCAAAAGCGCCACCCTCGGCGTCCTAGGATCCAATGCCTGCCCTTCCTCGTTCTCGGATACCAAATCTGTCAGCAAGGAATCCTACTTCAAGCTTAACATGCTTAGCCAGGCCAAAGCTGTTGAAAAACTTCGAGCAGCTCGCCTCCCTGCTCAGCTCGCACCAGACCCGATGCCTTCACCAATCCATGACAACGCATCACAACATCTGCAGGTATCCCTAACAAAAAGGGAAGCCACACCTCACCAGGCGGGTCATGCCTGCCAAGCGCGTTTTCACTGGCGCTGTATCAGGCTGGAAACGTTACAGGGTTTCAACTCATGCCTTAAGCCGCTAGTCCTGCAATCAAAGTCCCGTTCTGCAAGACTCCAAGCAATTTATTTTGCCTCGGCGGTTCTCCAGCTGCAGCGCTAGCATCAGCGCGCATCAACTGGCAGGAGACGATTCACTCTGACTGATTGATAAGAACTTGAGAAGCATCTGGTCTGCAGTGTGACATGCAGAAAAGCCTGCAGGGGCGGAGGAGGCGCCTCCTGGACCAGGACAGCGCTTGAGAGTAACCCCAACTGCAAATGCTGGCCTCCGATTCCTGCAGTAGCTGGGCCACAGCTAGTTCAGCAGAACCTTCAACCAGCAAGGCTTTTTGCTGCAGTGTTGCGCACGCAGATGCACGCAGTAGCCGCGCCTCTGTTGGACTGCAGGGCATGCATGGAACGTCGCCGAGAGAAGCCCATCTCCACGAGCCTCTCAACCTTTGGGTCCTTCTCCTTCTCTTCAGCACTACTTGCAGAAGAGGCACTATTGCCGCAGAGCACAAGAACCGCTTCAGATTTATTGCTAGATGCGCTTGCTTCTGGGGTGCGTGGGGCTAGGGGGCCATCGATCAGAGGCGGTCGCGAAGCTTGCGACAAAACCTCCGGCTGGTGAGGTTGCTTCTCTGAACTGGCTGACATGGAGGGTGTCTCCGCTTGCCCTGCTTCGAGTTGATGGGGTGCTGGCTGCTCCTGCTCTGGCAGCAATGGCCCAGCATCTGCAATTGGCAAGGCCTGCCGAGCCTCTTCTGCAACAGGGGATGCAGGCAAGGCGGGGTTGAGTGGGGCGACAGCCTGTGAGGCTTCAGCATGTTGCGAAGCCTGCCAGTACGTGCCAAATGCTGAAGATACAAGCCACAGCTTTGCACAGCTTCGGAAAACTTTTTCATACGTTGCTCTCCCGCCTGGGCCAGCGCTGCTTGTCTAGCCCGTGCCACCGCAAGCTCCTTCACTGAAGAATCTGAAGAAGTGGGAATCTCACACGCTGTGCGCCGCTCCTTCTCCAAGGCCTCAACACGTGCCTGAGCGAGCTTGCTCTCCAGCTCAGCGATGTGGACAGCATCCATGGCAAGCGTCTTATCAGGAATAGCTTGTTGAAGGTTGGGTAAAGCGTCTGCGCAAGGTTCTTGCTGGCTCTTGTTTAAAGAGCTTTCGCGCAGCGCGCCCATGACTTACACTCTTGAGAGAGATCTCCAGCAGGTCTTGTCAACATGCCATCGAGCCGCCAAAGGTCAAGCGACAACTCTGCATACTGGACTTCTCTAGGCGGAGAGTCTGCAAACCATGGGCTTGTAAAGGCCCATGGCGCTTGGGGACCTCCAGATCCGCAACAAAGTCTGGCAGGCGTGGGTCGCGAAGCCGCAGGAGTTGCACCTTAGACAAACACGGCTCCAAACCCTGTTCAACACACAGCTTGCTTTTCCCCGGGCCCAGACAAGTCGTAGCAGATAAAGGCACTCAGGTTGAATGGCAGTCCTGTGGAGGCTCAAGAGACAGTGCCCATGAGTTTCATTCTGCGCTCTTTCCCGCCTCGCGCTGAGCTCCTGGCAAACACATGACCAGCAGTCAACTTCCAAGACTTAGAAAGTTCAGCCATCTGCGCCTTTCTGTGCACAGCTCTCAAGGACAGGAAAATCTCAACGGCAAGCGCAAAGACCTGCACCAAGAGGAGCCATACAGCATAAAGCTTCTGCTAAGCCGAAGAAAGTACACTGCAATCAGACAGCAACTTTACAGCAACTGAAAGTCATTCACACAGCTCCCGCACAAAATGCTCACAGCCTCGTGGGAGGCCACAGGCAGCTGCCCTGACAGCAGTCCACAGATCCTGGGCAGGCACCGGGTACCATATCTATTGTGGAGAGCCGTAATTGGATGGCATTGAGCAAGGCTTATGCCGAAAGCATTCCAAGACAACAATGACAACAGCATCGCAGGGCAATGCAATTGAATAGGGTGCAAGCTGGCCAACCTCAGTGTCTTGTAAGATGCACACTCATCTATGTCCTCTTGGGAATTGCCGTCTGGGTCACCTGCTCATACGAAGCGGCAAGCACCACATGGATTTGCGGAAAGCTGCCACGATGCCTGGCCTTGACCCGGCTCTGTCGTATCTCGCAGATTGTGGTACCTTCGCATCTTCACAGCTTCGAAGCAAGCCCCACTGCTGCCATGTTTGGCTCTTGGCTTTGCTTCTGGTCACTCAACTAGGCAGGTGCACACGTGAGGTTCAAAACAATGATCGTGCAAACCCGACTTGCCAGCTCCAAAACATGTTCTTGCTCGTAGCAAGACTGCAAACACAACCTGCCCAGTATGAGCTGAACGTAACTGCCGCGGCCCTCCACGTGAAACAAGACAAGCACATACTTGCATTACGCTCTTCTCCTGCCAAATGCTGTAATATCGTGAGAGCAGTTTCTGTCCAGTGCAGGTGGGACCCGTGAAGCCTATCATGTTCCCAAGGTACATGAACGCCAACAGTCGCAGCATTCGATTCTTGGTCTCCACCTGTCAATCTGTGCAGCGGTTGTGAGCTTACTGCAATAGAATCGTGAAGGGCAGGCCTCCACGAGGCTTCTCCACAGAGCCTGATCAGCACTCAGAGAGGTTGCTGCCAACTTGCTGCCAGAACATCCCCAAGCGCCTTCAAAGATTCGGCAGTCTCCGGATTTGGCTTCAAGGCTCGACCTGGACCAGATTCAGTTGAATTCTGTGCCTTGCCACTGCAGGGCCAGTAGCAGTTCGCAGGCCAGCCATAGACTTAAAATGACCTAAGTGCAGAAAGGCAGCCTCTCAGCGCCAAGGGCATGGGAGAAAGATGTGAGATGTCTGGACCTGAAAGCAAGGAAGTCAAGTCAACAGCCCCCCTCACAGCTGTCCTCAACTTCCGAGTGATCAAGCACGCAATGCGGCACACAATGCGACAAGACCCTTTCGCTTGGTGCGCAGCAAAGCAGTGGCCTCCAGACTAGCAACAAACTGCCTGCTGACTACAGCACTCTCGCTCCCGCATCTCCCACCTGTTCTGAGAAGGTTCGGGCTAGCCAATGGTGCCATGGCATTCCTTCCTCTACTCTTCCAATAGATTTATGCACCACGGCCCCTGCTCTAGCTGCTGCTCCGTGAACTTCTCAGCCAGGCTTCGCCTCAAGAATCTCATGGAGTGTGGAGTGTAAAGTGTAGACATGCTGTTCCTGCCAAAATAAACACCTCGGCTCCTGACGCGGCACCAACCAGGAGCCCTAGAAACTTTGGATGCTTAAGCATCGACCTCCATGGCAGCAGTAACTGCACCCATCACATCCTGTCACGACATCTGAAATGTGCGTCAAACCACGCAACCTTTTTGTTGATGGCTCAAAGGCGCTCTGGTAGAGCATGCAGGGATGCCGAGGTGTCCAAGGAGCAGCAAACAAGGGGACTCTGTGGTGACCTCGTGCTCCTGGTGCTGACCGCTTTGGAGCTGCCCTCTGAGCAAAAAAGCCAGTAGCTATCTGGAAACACGCGCCATAAGAACTCCACTCTTGTGAGGGTCCATGATTGACATGCGCTAAACAAATTCTGGATGCACTTTGTTGGAGCCCCGAACCATTTGGTGGCCTCTGTTCTTTTTGAAGTTAGCGTGCTGCTGATTAGGGCATCCTTTTCAAAGGAGTGATGTGGTAAGTCAACTAGGCTACCTGCTGAGCTTCCGTTCGGAAGTCTGCGAGCGCAGCAATTTGAAAAGAGATGTACAAAGACAATTTTCCAACTGATGAACAAAGCCATCAGCTCACACACCAGGTGGCACTTCTGCTTCTGGTCTTTAGCCTTAGCTTGCAAGTCAGAATGAAGGGTTGCATTGGAAACCTTCACTGCCCAGCAAAAACAAAGGAGGCAAGAGACTTCAGCTCAGCGCATCCTTCCACCGCCTTTGCAGGACACTTCAGATAAGAGGATTGGGCTCTCAGTTGGGTTTTGCAGGGTAGGTCTCATCAAAGGGACGTATGGGATGAAATGCTGTCAACTTGGCCTGGTGGCATCCGAAACATCTGGTGAGGGAGGCCACCTGCAGCGATTGACTGTCTTCCATCAGACCACCTCTTTGAAGCCTTGTCGTTGCACACCAAGAGACGAGGAAGCAGAAGTCGGTGTCGAGCGCTCTGCGAGGCAAGCCTCGTTGCGCTGACTCTGGCGGACTGCCGCTGCGGCTATCCTTGGCTGGGCTCGCGTCGCGGAGTTGACGAAGCCGTCGCATGCCGTCATGATATCTCCAAGCATCCTCTCGGCAGCTTCCCTGGCTCTCGTGGGAGTTCCGCGTGTGGACGAGAAACCGTCCGTAGAATCATGTTGCCAGGGCTGTCTGAAAGCCTTGCTGGCCTCATAATGCTTTGATCAATGCAAAATATGTGACTCGCCTCCTCATGACGTCCCATGACCACAAGTGACATACTCAAATGCCTTGCCAAGAGACTGCCACCCACTGATGCGGTGGTTGCACAAGGCTCAAATGCATAGCCTGCACAGTTACAGTGACAGCGCGATTGTGCCTCTGATTCAATGTGCAAACTCCAGTAACCTCCAGCTCACTGAAGAACGAATGCTTCCATGCTTCAAGCTCCTACAGGGTTCAACTTTGAGGAGGTACAGCCGTGCAGCTGCACGCAGTTGCACAAGGCCTTTTGAATGTGACAGCTTTGTCTCGCGCTACCAACATCCGGTGCCTCAGTCAACCTATCTGGTGCAAATCAAAAGAAACAGCAGGAATCACATCAACGTCGTGATGCAGGCAAGGTACGGCCTGATACCGAGCTAAACCTGAGAACTCGCAGCCCGCAAGGTACTGTAGAAAACAACCGACCAAGCTGGCAGCAAGTGCAAATGCCAGTGCGGTCCAAGGGCTTTCAACATTGGCAGCATTCTGCTGTGTGAGTGACTGCAGGGTTGCAGACCTGGGCGCAATCTACAGTGATGAGCAGTTATTGAGTAGTTGCCAATCCAGCCGCATACCACATCCGAACACATCACCAAAGGGCTGCAATGCCAGCTGCTCAGTTTAGCACACACAGGATTGCATCGATGAAACTTCCTGCAGAATGCCAGTGTGAACCTGCCAAGATCTAGCTGGGCTTTCTCTTTTGGGAAACCGTGCACTGTTCCGAACTCTGGCACTGGGCCAGGGCCTGGCGAGTTGCTTCGACAACGCCATTCAGCTGATGCTGAAGTTGAGAAGATATCTCGCGCTGGAGCGTCTCAACCTGGTACAGCTCGTTAAAAAAACATCTTAGAGCTGTCATCCCAAAAGAAGCCTCTGCCTCTCGAAGGCTGCGCTCCATGTCACCGCTGCTGTGGACAGACTGAGAGGCCAGAACCTGCACCAGCTTGCAGAACTGCAGAACTCTGCAATAGATTGCAGCTTGCAGAACTTAAGAACCATTGCTTTCAGCTTGCAATTACTGCTTACATGTGCTGCCTTTCATTTCAAGTTGAAAACAATTTACAGACTGGTCGAGGGCACCAACGGCAACCCATCGCAATCGCATCTACAGCGCTGTGCCTTTGAGGATCGCAGCTCCTTTAATATGATATCCCTGGCGTCCATAATTTCCTCGGCAAAAGGTGCCGCCGCGGCTGGAGGCAGTTGAAACAGGCTCCACCCTATCTGGCATGCAAGCCTGATCTCGCGTACCAACCTGCCAAGCTGCTTTGGTGAAGATCCATTCTGCTGGATCGATGCAAGGGTCGTGATCAGATGTTTGGCACTGCAATTGCCGCCTCAGAATTGCAGCTTCATTGTTCCGAGCCTGCGTTTCCCACAGGCTACACTTCTGCCAAGCTTCTCTCGCGTCGGATTGCTGTTGAACTTGCTTGCGGAAAGGCGCTCCTGACAACGATAAGACTTTCTCAACATGTGAAAGACGACAGATATGGCCTTTGGCGCCGTTCGCGATCGAGCTGCCGCTGGTGGGCGAAGATGTACAGCCTTTTGGCGATGCAAAATGCTGTCAGTGCTTGGGTAAGTCTTGGTAAGTCGGCCTGCTTGGATGCTGCCGGCTTTCCAGATGCCTAGTGCTGCTCGTGCGTCTAATAATCAGGCTAGCACGGGTGTCACCAAGCCTGGTCAAGCTCCAAATGCTGCGCGATACTCGCAAGCAGGCCCTCGCACCTGACAATCACACGCACGATTGCGAAGTAGCACTGTGCTGTCAGTCTTGTAACCAGTGCTGGAGGAAGGGAGGAACAGCAACGACAGCATGTTCATGTACGTGCAACTTCGAAAAGCAACAGTGAAAAGCCACATGCAGCAACAATGTCGACAACGGCCAACAACACCACAAACCCGATAACTCCACCACCCCCACACCCCGACCCCAACCCCGACGTCCACCCCCACGGCCACGAGCACCACCACCAACACCACCACCACAACCAACACAACCTCACCTATCATCAAACTCCCTGCAAGCCTGTCCACTTTGACCTTTGTCTGGGCAGTGATGTAGTGCAGCTCCTAGAAGGCCCCAAAATTCAAGCCTATGGTGCAAGCTGGCCTGGATGCTCTACTGCACCCAAGTTGCCACGATCGAAATGGGACGCAGGCCCTCCGCCAGGTGCACGATGCTCTGACCTCAAAAAAGCACGGCGATACCAGCCTCCACAGCTCCATTGACAGCTCATACTTGGTTGCTTGATAGGTCGACACCTGGCCACGGGATGTGTCCAAGGCTCAGACAGAACTCCTTCTTGTCGATGGAACCACTGCCATCCTCGGGGTGGTCATGTCAGGTTTGCTCTGCAACAATTCCTGAAATCTGCATACCGCCCATCTTCCTCCACTCAGGTCTCCCATCCAACTTTCATGCCCACCCTAACATGCCAGCTCTGGAAAACAGCCTTCAAGAGTTACGGCCAAGCATCGGTGTCCATGCAATTGACCTCAGAGCATGCAAGGTGAAGCTGCAAACCTGTTTTGCTGAACTCACATGTGGAAGAGACACAAGTCTCTGCAGCATAGATGTATCCTTCTCTATCAAATTACGGACTGGGTTCGTCAAGTACATAGGTCACGGACTGTGTTCACCAGATCCTCTCGTGCGAAGGGAACACCCTCATCAACGCAGAGTTCGTCCAGCGCAGGCAGGATCTGCATGATGTCCTCAATCGATGCATGACCTGCCATGAAGCTTCGGGCTTTCAGGCTTTGTGCCCACAGGGTTGAACCGGTTCTAATGCAACCTGGGCGACCTCGATGCTACTTCTACTACTAGCAAGTTTCAATGCCTCCGTCCAATCCTTCCACCGACTAAGCAAAGCTCTAAACCAGAAATGCTGGGCAGTGCTCTGCATCAGCCCACTGTCCCAACACTGCTCGACCAACAAATTGCTCTTGCCTTGAGTGCTTGCAATAGTCTCGAAGATACCCTCACAGCTCTTGATTATCCTGCCAAACAACAAGCAGCATGTGAACTTGCACGTGATGTTGGCTGAAATATCTGCAGAGTGAGGTGCAAGAATGGCACGATAGCGCAAGTCTTGATGGGCAAGCCAAGCCAACGAAAGATAAACGGAGTCATGGATGGCAGCACATTAAACAATGACCGAAGAGCTGGATGAAGAATTAACAAAATCGACAACTGCTGAGTGGTGTTCATGTTGAGGTAGCGGACAAATACGAGGACAGGGAGCATGACGACGACAATGAGAAGGACGAGGACGAGGAGAAGGACAACAAGGCCCTCTGAACAAAAAACTTGCAAATCATAATCATGAGAGAGACGTGGACAAGCATGAAAGGTAGAGATGGACATGATTCGTGGCAATGCAGGTGATACAAAGAAAGAGCAACGCGATGCCGTCCCCATACTGAATATGATGGGATGTACAAACATGACGCTTGCCACGGGCATGCCGATTATAAAGCTGATGCTAACCCAAAATCAACATCAGCTGATGGGCATGCAATACTCACGGCTACAGACTGGCATATCATGATCATGCTCATCAGGGAGGTGTCGCGTTGTGATGACTACTGTGACGACGGCAACAACGGCGATGATGATCTGCATTGTAAGCATATGAGTATCAAGCTTGTTTGGTGAACTTTGATTGCAAGATTCCGACTTGAGCTACCGGAGATGATATATTTGGACTGCATGCGCAGCACATGTGTCACAAAGAGTCTGGCATGCACCCTGATCCTGCCGATCCCAAACATAGCCCAAGATTGCGATAACCATGACACGGAGGCCGGAAGGATTAGAAAGGAAAGAAATATGCGTCAGCAACAGAAGAGGGTTGATTGGAAACCGATAACTGACTTTGCCTGCTACTGCTGAATGACGCTAACAGTGACAACCGTGAAGATGATACAAAATGATCGATGATGGATTGTGATAAAGGACCAGCGAGAGAGACGACTCCCTGAGCGCTGGAAAGGTTGGATTTATGAGGCTGCTGCTAATGATGACGAGGTTAATAGCGAGTCTGGTGATCTTGTATCCAGATATGAAACCGTGGACAGCGTTTGATAGCCCTTCTGCAGCGACGTCGATCGCACGGACAGTCCACGGAGTTGAATGGCTTCCCCACAGCAAGACTGGGAGACTTGATCAGCAGAGAATGAATGAGCCATTATGATTATGATGTGCATGTGGTTGTTGAAGACCAAGACAGCAATATTGGTGACTATGCTGATGATTACGGCATCAGTGACTTGGCAATGTCTAGCGCGGCACATGGCATGTAGCTGCACGCCAAAGCGCAGACATGTGAAATGAGACGACAACAAGACATATGTACTTACCTGATTTAGTTTACACAAGCTATAGATGGATGTACATGACAGATAGTTACTGCTGGCAAAGATGTTGATGCTTCTGCCGACGCTAATGAGTGAAAAACATGCGGACATCATGATGTCAGCCCCAAAAGCCTTGAGTTGCCAAACCCGCCACCTCTGAAAGCACCTGGGTTCCTTTGGCCTGCTCAATGCAGCCTGCACAACCTGTAATTTTAGTAATACGAGAGGTAACGCAGCACGTCTGCCATTCTGCCAAAGCAATCTGAACTCTTGTCTTGGTCCGCTAGCGGCTAGTTTTTACGACTTAAGCCTCCCTGCAAGATGGATCACCCGCTGAGGACGTGGAAGCTAATGATCTCTTCTGGAGTGATCGAAGTGTCCTCTGCCGTTTTTCCTCGGCCTCTGCGCGCTCTTGCTCAATCTTGGCATCATTCTTGTCAAACATACTTTCCTTGGCACTGCAGTGGCTCACACCATGTTTGCACCATCGACTCAGAATCTAAGCACCAGGCGCAAACCAAGCCAGTCAGCAGACCCACAATGCCGAAGCTTACCTAAGCTCCGGTATCTACACTGAATAGAGGCGTGGCGTTTGACATGCAGGCCTAAGGAACATCCAAGTTGCGAAGACAACAAAGGCGATGAGGAAGGCAGCAAAAAGCGCGTCAGACTCCAAGACGTCCCTGTAGCAGAGCATTTGTCAGAGGCCTAACGCAAGAGAAAGAGACTTCGCGCTGATCGCCCTCACTCTGAGGGAGATGACAGGACATAGAATTCCCGGAACTTCACAACGTTAATTTTCTCTCCAAAAGGACGGACAAAAAGCTGAATTTGAACGTGGATGTAACAATCAAACAGAAAACAGCAGAGGCCTCTCGCTTCTGAGAAAAGTGGTCCTGCTCCGAAATCTACAGTAGTATTTGAGACATGATAGACCTGAACAGGTCTGCATGGGTAGTCCGAAGGAAGAGCCCCTGCTCTTTTCTTCTATACACTTCCTCATTGCCAAGCACGCTCGCAATTCGACACGTCCCAGTGCACAAGCTCCATAAAATTCTGAAGAACGTGTAGATTACGCTTCCTTCGTAACTTCATCGAAGAGCTGCTTGTTCTGTTGAGTTCGAGCAGGGATTGTGAGCCTGTTCGCAAGGCCCATGTTGCTTGCAAGGATTCTTGCAGATGTATGCGGGTGTCAAACGACCTGTTTGCCTCGATCGACCACGAAACATGTCGTCCTCGCTTGGCAGGTCGAGTATGAAGTTTCGTGCGATTCTTCCCAGAAATCTGTGACCGTCCCTTACGATTCGTTTTGCAGTAACTGCGGAGTCTACTCGCACTGGCAGCGCACTTATTTTCAACCGCAACACAGAAAGGTAAATGTCTCAGTCCTGCATGGTGATACCTGATGCCCTATGTGCACGAACAGACCTGCGGTCCTGCAGAGCTAAAGTCGAATGCTCAGCGCTCGCGGGCCGGTAAGGCTTTGGTCAAAAAGATGCTTGCATGTCCACTGCTGACAGCAACACACAAGCAGGCCATGCACTCAAGGAGCGGTTCACACTCCTAAAACTTTCTTTGCTGTCAGCATCCTTCGTCTGCTGAGCTCTCAGAAACTCGTTGGGCTTCAGTCACAGCTTCTCTGCGACGCGCGGCCTTCGCGGCCTCAGAAGTCCCGGTAGCCCTCACGACTTTCTTCCGGTTCTGCCTCTCCAGGCGTTTCTTCTCCTTCAAGAGCCGGTTCTCCTCCGTCTGCACGAGGGAGATTAGCCCGTCACGAAGAAATTGATGCAGAATCGTCTTGTCGGCTCCAGCTTTCGTGAGCACGTTTGCCAGGTTCTGTTGCCCGTCCACCCACCTGACGTGAGATTTGGGCTTTCTGACTGTTTCACGAAGAAGGGCACCTTCTATCGCCATGCGCTTGTCACTTGAAGTGCTATTTGCATCTCGCTGCAGATAGTCGTACACCGACCTTGCGTCTGTGACGTACACCTTTTCGCGGCGTGCGATCACTTCCGGCCAGTTCTTCAGGTCCAGCTCGCCGGTGAGGGCCTCCTCCAAGAGCACCGTGACCCAGTCGCCGGACTCCACGGCCTCTGCCGAGTGGCTTGCCTCTGCAGCAAGAGTGCTTCTACAGACTCGTTTGGTCACTCCACTGTAGTAGCCGATGATATTGGCTCTGACAGTCCTGCCCTCCAGGATGCCGGGGTTCGCTACCAAAAGGAAGTAGCCTCCAACGCTGCGATATCTCATCACCTCGTTGTGGTCGGGCGTGCCGTTGGCGTGCCCGCTATCGGCTAAGTGGACCACCACGCCCTGGGCTAGATCCACATCCTTCCAATAGCGCAGTCTAAAATCGGCGCTGCGGCGAGCGGCACCGACAAACTGTTTCAAACGGGTGAGGTCAGCAACACAGGCATCCGTCTTGGCTCGCTGTGCCACCCCATTCTCGTAGGCTAGGTCACACCTCAGCTGCCGGGTGATCCAGCCCAGTTCGCCTGCGCTTCGCTGGTAAAGCTCCATCTCGTCCTCTTCGAGCGGGGCCTGCAACTCTTGGCGCCTTGCCTGCTCGATCTTGATGGGCTTCATGGAAAGGGCGTAGTTCCTCATGGAGACTTCCACGTGACCGCTTTGGATCTGCTTAACTTCTCTGCCACGAGAAATGAAGTCATGGACATGGTTGGTCGCAAATTCCAAAGCCCGAGCTGAGTGGTAGAAGGCCTTTTCCATGTAGGAAGCTTCAACACCGCCCTCGAGGTCATCCACATGGGTTATGAGGATGCCCTTCAGCTTCCTGTCCCGCCTCAAGTAGAACTCCCGCCAGCCGTCGGACTCTTAGTGCTCCTTGAGAGCCAGCCAAAACAATCTCGCCGCTTCAGCAAAACCGTAGATGGCCTTCTTTGCTCTCAGAAGTTGTCCGGGTTTAAGACCGGGCAAACCACCCTTAGGTTGGTCCAGATAGATCTCTCGATCCACTGACTTCCCGGAGAAGTACGCATTTTTGATGTCCTTGGCGAGCAGGACAAACTGAAAGTGCGTGCAGACTGCCAAACAAATGCTCTCGGCTATGGCAGATGCTGTCGGGGCATCTCGCCTGTACTGTCCCAGGCTCTTGTCCTTAAAGCCTTGGACCACTAGACGTGACTTGGCGAGGAAGTCGGCACCCACGATGCCGTCGTTCTTGTTCGTCCTCACCCACCTCGTTGGCACCACGAGGTCAGGCTTGCTCTTCCTCACCTTCAAGCTCTCGCCGAGCGGAAGCACGTCACAGGCTTCCTTGTCTTGCCAAGCTTTCCACTCTCTAGCGTCTGAGCCCTCGCTGTCCACGAAGAGCCTCTGCCTCTCGAGCGGGAGTTCATGTAGCTTGATCTCCTTGCGCCCCTTCTTCTTCACTGTGCCTGCCTCTGCTCCGGAAGAAAGGGCCATGTACTGCTCGCTAAAGTCGTTCCTGCGGACTCCAAAGAGAAACTGCTTCAAGCTGACGTCCTCTTTGACAAAGGCAATCTCGTTCCTCCGGTAGCAACTTGTCGCCTTCTCAAGCAGGTAGTTGCTGGAAGCGACGGCCTGGTCAGGATCGACTCTTTCACTAACGTAGTTGGCGGACTCCTCGTCGGCAATGACGCGTTGTCGCTTGGCCTCTCTCTCGACCATCTCGCCCTCGGGGACTTCTCTTATGGTTGACAGCCTCTCGTCGCCGATGGGCGTGTGATAGTCATCCATCTCGGGATTCCACTCGACTTGGTCGGGCACGTACTCGTCGAAGTCGGTGTCGTCGGGGACGGGCACGTCCTCTGCACGCGGTCCTGCCGAAGACGCCGGTAGGTCTGCCAAGCCGCCACGGCTGACCCTCCTTCCGGCCTCCTTCTTCGCGAAGAACTGCGACGACATTCTGGCCTTCTTGGCGTCGCGCTCAGACTCGTAGCGCAACGCCGCAGACGACGTAGACGAGTGGTCGCCAGCCTCTCTTTTACGCTGAAGTTCGTCCCGTGCAAGTTGTAGAGGGTCAGGATCGCCACCGGGGTGTCCGGGAAGTTCGCCAGGTGGATGGTCAACCTCATCGTCCCCGACTGGGATTTCAGGAACAGGTGCTTTCCTAAGGTCAATGAAGCCGGTGCCTCCAGACGCTGGCATGGGGTTGATGAGCTCCACCTCGTTGCCGGCCACGGTCCAGGCCTCAACCTCTTCGTCGAAAGCTCGGCTGAGATGCTCCGGGCTGACTGCCAGAAGGATCCCTCGGTGTGAGATCCATACTGCGTGGCTGCCTTCGTGACCGACGACTCGTGCAACTCCTCTCCAACACTGCGGGCCAGGCTCCTTGGTCGCAGAGGCGTCGTAGTAGAACACGTAACAGCCCACGGGGAATGGACCTCGGCTAGGGCGAACTTGTCGTAGCTCGGCTCGCCTTAGCGCGTCTGAGTTGCTGGACCGCGCAAAGGCTTCTCGTGCTGCCATCCGCAGCTGCGTCTTCCTGAAGAAGCGAAGGCTTGAGCTCCAACCCGGGCCACGTCGGAGTCGTCGCAGAGAGCTGCTGGTAAACGGATATTCCTTCCCAGGACCCACTGTGCCGGGGAGAATCCGCCTCGACGACTTCCCTCGTTCTTCGCTTGCGTGATGGCGCTGGTGGTCAGCATCACCTCGTCTCGTCCGGCCACCTGCTGTGCCCAGGCCACTCTTCGGAAGGTCTCCTTCCACAGACCACCGTGTCTTTCGATGGCCCCGATTTGCCACAGACTTGCCGTCGCCGAAGTGTCCAGTATGCATCCATGGCTTGCGATGTCCTCGGCAACGTCCGCCAAGAAGTAACGTGCTCTGTCGGTCATCACCCCACGCTCGGGGTAGCCGGCCCACGCGAACCAGTGAATGTTGAGTGCCTCCAGAACCGCGGCGCCAGTCGGGTTGGCATGCGTGTCACCGAGGTGAGCTGCAACCTGAAACGTCGTACCTTGACATAACACATTCAGCCATGTCCAGGTCTCGCCCTTGCTGTCCTTCTCCGAGAACACGTCCAGGCCAATCATGACATTGAACTCGTCCACAAACGGAAGTTTGGATGGCTTAGCTTCCTTCGCACTCCGGGCACCGAAACAACTTCACCGCCTTAAGGGCCACTTCACTGGCCTTGGTGATCCGTAAAGCACGAAGCATGCTCTTGTTATCGGCGTGCCCCAAATTGGTATGCAACCTTTTCACTGCAAGCTTGAGCTCTCGGGGTAGTGCTTGCCATTGACGCAGTCGTGCTTCCTCATGCACACGCCAGGGGTCGCGGTCGTGCTCCTCGAGCGCCTCGCCGACTTCCGTGCCGTAGGTGACCACATAGAGCCTGCGCTGCTGAGCCATTAAGGGTCGAACCTGAGAAGAAGGAGCCTGGTTGGCCCACATCTCCCAGTCCGTCGTCAGGACCTTGTCGTCAGCAAGCAAAAGGAAGGACTTCCGTATCGGGACGTCCGCTGGTCCCATGTGAGGTTGTGGCTTCTTCATTCTCCTGGCGGAAGTCGAGCATAGGATCAGCTTGATGTCGGCGCTTGCGGACTCTCTAGCTGCCCAGCTTTTGCCCAAGTCGCCGTTCACATCGATGCGGTTCCACTGATCGCCGCCCTCCTGCCGCACGTAGTCGAGAGTCGCATTCAACAATGCACAAAGGTCCTCGTCCTCGATCTCGATCCAGAAACCACGCTGAAGCTGTCGGACTCTAGGCCTCCTACGCTGAAGTGCTCTAACGTTTGCTGGTGCCCCGCCTGGTGGTTCGTCTGGATTCCGTCCTTCTTGTTCTGGTTCTGCTGCCTGCTCTATCTGCTCTGACCTGTCTGGCTCTGGCCCGTCCTCCTCCATCATGACCGCTGAGTCGTAAGGCAACGCTGACTCGTCGAATTCGAGTCCTTCTCGTTCGCCTGGTGGTTCGTCTGGATTCCGTTCTTCTTGTTCGGGTTCTGCTGCGTGGCTGCGTGCTCCGGCGCCTCGGCGTGCTCGGTAAAGAAGAACTCAGTCTCGCCCGTCCAGACGAAATCCATCACGGCTCGCCTGGTGTTCCACCATTCGTCGTTGACTTCGCGACGAGTCCCGTCTTGTAGCAGCATCCTCGTCCGACTGTGCTTTGTCAGCCTGTCCAGCGGAACTGGAGGGGCCGTTGTTGACAAAGGCAAGAAAAGCAATTGCCGTGGCAATCGATGCACCCGCACGATTCTGTCATCTTCCACTCGCCAAAAGTCCTCCGTCGGCTCCTCCTCGGCTCCACTCTCTTCTGTCTCTTCTCCCTCCAGCACCGGAAACGCGTGCTCGTAGTAGTTGTAGTGTCCCTTCGCAAAGGCAAAGGCGTAGTCCAGAACCATGGTCTCGCGAAGTCCCTGACATATCGCCTTGCACAAAGGAAGCGGGTATTCGGCTGCCTGCTTGGACCGAACTCCGAACCTGTTGCTGCCGAGGATCGGCTCGTGGGCCCCGGCCGGGCACGTGCATCGCTTGCCGATGCTGTTGAGGAGCATTTTCGAGTTCGATATCCAGCCGGTCGTCTTTCTCACCGGCCTGCCCGACTCCTTGTCTACCTTGCCATAGGCGCACTGGTCGTTCATCACGAACTTGCCGCCGCCTTCGTCCAAGAGTCGTGCAAGAATGCCATCGAAGGTCCAGGCCAATGAGCCGCCAGGATTCTCCACCAGGTAGTAGCGTCCGGCTCGGTGTTGATGTAGGCACCACGCAACCACTCTCTTCAAAGTCAGCCTTCCGACTTCCCGTCGAGCTTGCTGAAGGTGTGGGCTGACGTTGAGGTTGTTCAGTGGTGACCATATCCTGCAGTCGAACGCCAAGAGCACAAGGTATGGACGATGCTCTCGCAACACCCGGTCGCAAAGCGACTTGCCTGGGCCTTTGAGAATGTCGTAGCCGTCCACAATGTCCATTGGCTGCGAGCATGTCCAGCTGTAGGAGGATGCAGCACACCTGGTGACTCCGAAGTTGCCGCCAAAGGGCTCGAAGACCACAGTGTTCTTGAAGTTGTCCGTGGCGAACTGCTCGGCCGTGATAAAGTCGCGGCGGAGTGCTACCCACATGCTTCGGTCTCGCCTGGCATGCTCCTTCTCGGCCCTAAGTAGTTCTCCGACCCGGCGTTGGTGAAGTTGCCCCCGAACGTCATCTGCTCGAACGCCGCGGTCGCCGAGTCGCGGGCCAGGCTTCTGCTCCTGCTGGGTTGTCTCCGACGGTGGCTCGGACAAGGGGTGCAGCAAGGGCCTCCGAGCTTCCTCCAGGTAGTAGACAAGGAGGTCGCCGTACACGCTCGCGTGGGCTGCGGGCTCTTCCGTCTGGACTGTCTCCTCGCCCCCAATCGGGATGCCCTCCGGAGCGTCCTTGTCCACCCGTAAGGCCACGTGACCTGTCCTCGTCGCGAGCATCGGAAGGCGAAGCTGGAGGACATTGATGTCGACTTGCCGCAGGCGTATGCGAAGGATCATGTCCAGGGAGTCCATCGTCGACAAAGACATCAACAACGGCGTGGTTCCGTGGTCACTCCGCTGAGTATATCTCACCAAGCCGGCCGCCAAGAAAGATTGGTATACGCCAGACCGGCAGCTTGTCTTCCGTCGACTGGCCATTGGCGAAATGAAAGTGCTTCCGTTGAGGAGTCACCTCGCAGCGGAGATTCGTGGGCAGAGTCCGCTCGTAGCTTTGCCTCCAGCGCTTCGAATGGATGCAGGCCGCGCAGGCGGTATCCAACAAAGCCACGCGCGACTCATCAGCTTCTCGCTCTCCAGGGTCTGCATGTAAGCGGTGGTGCTCGCACTCGGGCATGTCAAAAGAATCTGAATTCCTAGCAAAGTTGTCTGAATTCTGTTGCGGTTCATCGGGCTCAGTCCCCACGCTGTCCTTGTGGCTGTGGACCACGTAGACAAATTCATTCTCTCTGGGTGAAAACATTTCCAGCCCCACATCGAAAGCTGACTGGTCAGCCCTGCCGGGCTCCTCCGCGCATCTCCAGGCCCTCAAGCAGCTGTCTCGTGTACTGGCAGTTGGGGTAGTCGGGGCAGCCGAAGAAGAGGTTGAATCCACGGCGAAGAACCATAGGGTTGCCGCAGACACCACAACGGATTTCCACACAAGGTTCGTTGAGGTACACGTCCGCAGGTATGGTAACGTCGGTCTTGGGGTCATACTTGCGGCCTGTCTTCGGATCCAACTTGGGGCCAGGGTGTCTCTCCTCTGTCGTTGGCGAGCGCGTCTTCCAGCTTTCCTGCGGGCTTGCCGTGGCTTGCTTTGGGCTGGCATACCCGGGGCTTCGAAACGAACGGCTTGTCTTCGGGGTCATTGGCGCTGAAGCTGCTGCTGCCGAGGGTGCCGAGGCGGGCTGCCGAGGCGTCGTGACCGGCTGAGGGGCTGAAGTAGACGCCTGCCATGACGCCATATCCTGCCGGGAGGCCGCCGTCGGAGCCTTCAATGGGGTCGTGGCCTGCTTAGGTGCCGCCGCGGTTGCCTTCTGGAATGCCATCGGACCTTGGGAGGATGCCGCCATCGAAGACGTGGTGCGCTGCTCCTTTAAGCGCACGTACTTGGTCGTACACCCTTTTCGCAAGACCGCCTGGCCTCCAAACAGTTGCCGCAATCGGGACTTGATATCGTCCTTCTTCCCGGATGTCTGGATGCCCCATTTCTCGCACATCTGCTGAAGGTCCCGAAGCAGCTTGGAGTCCAGATCCTCGCCAAGCAGCTCCTGAAAGGATTCCACATAGACGATCTGAACATCCTTCTTGGGCACGGTGATCACGAGCTGCTCCTCGGACTCCTGTCGGGCGACCGTCGGACGGTCGTTCTCTGGCAACTGCTCCGGCAGCTGCTCGGACACAAACGGCGAGGCCACGCACTCCCAACCTTCACTGTCGGCATAGCTGGCCATGGCTCCTGCAGTCTTCTTGCGCTTGCCGTCGAGCTCCGTGGCGCCGCTGTCCTGCTCCATCCTGGTGGCCTCGCTCTCCTTCCCGTCCTTGTCGTGGATGACCATGTCGCAGTAGCCGTCCTGGTCGTCGTCCTGCCGCAGCGAGAAGAAAAGGGGAGACTCACTGACCGCGTAAGCTCGGCCTTTGCTTGGCTGGCCCTTGTTGCTTCCGCTGCCTTTTCCTTTGCTGCTCGAACGACCACCTTTGGGGCCACCCTTCGAGGATTTGGCGCAGACTCCATCTCCTGCCCAGTGGCCGAGCCGGCCGCAGGCGGCGCAGCGCGACCTGGCTTTCTCTTTCTCCACGGCTGCCTTCCGCTCGTCCACCGACATGGCCGACTTGTTGCGAAGAAAACCCCGACTCTTTTGTAAGTCCTTGAGTCTCTTTCGGGATTCCTTGTAGGTGGCGTAGGCTTCGTACACAGCGTCGTCCTCGCATGCTCCTTGGTCGGACTCGCCCTCCGTGGCGGCGCCGTAGCCGTACTCCTCCGCATCCTCGTCGTCGTCGTTCTCCATCTCGCCGGTGGCCAGGGCGTAGCCGTCATCCTCGCCATCGTCCTCGGGGTAGTCCTCGTGCTCCAGCTCCTCGGCTGCATGGGCATAGTGCCGCTTGCCTCCGCCCTTGCCAGTGCCTTTGCGACCTCCATGGCCGGAGTGGCCCCATTCCTTGGTCTTCTCACGCTCGTGGATGTCAAAGAACGACACGCGGAGCGCCTTTTCAAAGCCAGCCAACGAGTAGTCGCTCTGGTTGGCCAGGAGCACCTGCCGCTTCTCGTCCTTGCCCAGGCCCACGTTCTTCAAGAGGAAGTACGCAAGGAGGTCCTCGCTCATTGCCACGCCCTCGGACAAGTCGCGAAGATCGGCCCAGCTCTCTGCTCTCTGCCGTAGAAAGGCATCAACACTCTGGCCGCGGCGCCGGTAGGTCTTGTCGAAGAAGTTGTCGAAAGCCTCTGTCTTCTTGAGCACAGTCACCTTCTCGATCTTTTGGAGGCATCTGAAGATCTCCTTGTAGCCGTCCGGCTGCTTGAGCTTCTCGTCCGTGAGGAGGTCTTGACAAACCCGCCAGGCTTCGTCATGTAAGTTATCCATCAAGCGCTTTGCAAAGCGGCGCTTCTTCTTAGCCAAGCTGCGGGCTTCCTTCTCCTCATCGTCACCGCTGCCCTCCAAGTTCGAGAAGGCAAAGAGGACTCGACGCCTGTACTCTTTCATGAGCTCTGGCCTGGCACCAGTGTAGTGCGGAATGCCGTCCCTGTCCACCACCACCTGGTCATCACGCCAGTAAGGCTTCTGAGAGTCCATGGCGGAACGGAACACAAGGCTCCGCTACCAGTGCGGAGTCTACTCGCACTGGCAGCGCACTTATTTTCAACCGCAACACAGAAAGGTAAATGTCTCAGTCCTGCATGGTGATACCTGATGCCCTATGTGCACGAACAGACCTGCGGTCCTGCAGAGCTAAAGTCGAATGCTCAGCGCTCGCGGGCCGGTAAGGCTTTGGTCAAAAAGATGCTTGCATGTCCACTGCTGACAGCAACACACAAGCAGGCCATGCACTCAAGGAGCGGTTCACAGTAACCACTCAAGATTTGCGGTAGCCACGATCGAAAAACTTGAACTAAACTTGACAGCAGCCAACTGGATCTGCGCAGCCAACAAGCGCGGCGCCAATAAGGCATCAGGTCTGGCTCCGAGAGCAGGAAGAATAACGACAGCATCGACTTTCGAAGGGAGCCGAAGTGGGCATTCAGAAACTCCTGCAACTTGGGGGCTTGCTTATATCGACCTCAAGGAGATACAGTCTCCAAAAGAAGAGGCTCATCATTTGACAGACCCCCGTACGTCTAGAGTCTAGAAGTCACCTTCCAGCCGCACTGCCAAAGAGTCCTCATGCTCGTTGGTCTGCATGAAGGGGATGATCAGCCGAACGCACACGATGGAGGTAACCTTGCTGACAAGTAATCGCATGAAGAAGCTATCAATCAACATGCATCCATACACCTTCAACTGCCCGGGCTGAACCGGCCAAACCAGCCAATTGTAATGCTAGGCTCCAAACATAAATGGCAGCCAGCATCAGCAGCGAAACATTCCCTCAGAGTCATTGATGGTCGCCGTTCATCCACAATCGCTCGTTTAGAAATACCAGCCAAGTCTCTGATTGCCACAGCCGCGGCTGCAAAGCCAAATGTCAGCACGTGGAAATCCTCAGCTGCAGAACGCTTGCCACCGTTCTAAGCCAAAAGCCTCAAACTTAATCAAGCAATGCCCGCAACCCCTAGGCATTCTATGCTGGAAACAAAAACCCGCTTATGGTAGCTTGCGTTTTCCAAGCTTTTGCTTACGACACGGTTTTGTTGTTGTTTTGGCTTGCGCCGCTAACGCCGGCTAACCTTGCAAATCCCCACTAGGAGCCACACCAACAAAAGCAACGAAAACAGCTTACGACGCTTACAACAACAACGGCACCACAATTGCTTACGATAGCCTACGGAACAGTGGCTTGCTTACGCCAAACCTTGTTTCCGGAAGCCCCAGTCTTATGTAAGGAAGGAAGGTTTTGATCTCCGCAATTTTCCGCTCAACCGGATCTGTTTCCAGCCCAGCAGCGCGCAGGAAGCGCAGGAGCCGGATCATCCGCATGACTCTGAGCAGCCGGATGATTCGGAGAAAGGTCATGAAGCTCCCCTCAAAGAGAGAGCACATTTTGACGTGCCCAACAAAACATGGATCACTGCACGAGCTTTGCAATCTTTGCAGACCATCTGAGAGCTGCACTTTCTCATGTCGCACTGGCGAGAAGTCAAACATGACATCGAGACAACCAGCAATAACGACGCAGAAGTCAAACAGGTTCCTGCCCCCAGCCATCATACAAGCATACGGAAGCACGAAGCATGCATTGCAAGGTCTGCAACTGCCGCGGCTCCAGCTGAAGTCTTCGTTCGCGTACGCAAAGAACTTAGCTGGTCCAGAGACCAGAATTCGCAGAAGCAGCTCCACAGTGAAGATACCAAGAAAGGAAATCTCCAGCACCTTCAACAATGGATACAGCACGGCACACGCAAAGCTGCAGTGCGTCGGAAAGCGCACAAGCACATCACCAGTGAACTGGTCAGGAAGATTCAGGAGCTTCAACTAACATACAGCCAACTGAGGAAAATGCATCGAAGCGCAAGTAGGAAAGCTAAGGGAAAAACAACCGATAAGCGGTGCACAGTATCAAGTGGGGTTGATCAATCATGTCTGTTTCCACGACCTGTCTTGTGCCTGTTGCACCTGCACACACTAAACCCATATGGCGGGTGCTTATAAAGCATGTTAACACGCGAGTCGTTCTACAAACAACGTTGGTACTCAAGTCATTCTACGCTTCTCGTCCACCCTCACCAAGAAGGCTGCCAGGGCACAGCCCATACCTCGCCGGTACTGTCTGTCTCCAGGCCAATGACAATGGCATTCGCCACGATCAATGTGGAGATAAAGAGCTGAGAGACAATGTCAGAAGTGCAAGGTGGGCTGTCTTGCAGCGGCAACTGCAATAAAAATCTTGCTGAGGCGAGGTCATTGAAGCCAACACTATGGAGCAACTCTTCCCAGCAATCTGGCTGGCAGCTCTTCTGCGGGACCATATCCTGTGAGAACCCATGCAGAATGCAAGACGTCTTCATTTGCTTCCAAATTGTTCTCTCTGCCGACGGTAGGCCTTGCTGTCTGCAGCATACTCCACGTCTGGAACAAGCCGATACTGGCCCAAATTGTCCACAGACATCAAAGGTGTCCGTTTCACCTCACCGCTAGAGAACCCATATGAGCCATAGTCTAAACTCCCAGTATCCCCCGTAATAACCCCTATAATCACCCCTCTATCATCCCTCATATAACTTCCTTTGAGGAGTATAGACCCTACACCCTAAACATTATATCTCCCTATATAACCCCATATAATCCCCTAAATATATATATATATACATACATATAAGTACACACATGCGCATATATATATATATCACACCCCTCATATAACCCCCTTTAAGGAGTTTATTATGGTTCATACGCAGTCAGAAGCTGTAGCAGCAAGAAATCTCAGGCTTTGGCCGAGGTATCAGAGCCTTGGCCTCCAGCACGGCTGCTGCTCTCTCTGTCATATAATAACAATAAAAATATCAAATACCAGTAATAATAACAGTAAAAATGATAAATACCCATAATAATTACAATAAAAAAGTAATAACAACAATAGTAATAAGAATCATAATAAATGTGATACTAAAAGAACAATAGTAGGAGCAACCATAATATTTAATACTAGTAATATAGAAATCAGACTAATTACATGAATACTACAGCTTCAGTAGATAACTGCAGGACTGCCCTACAATGCTTCCCGGTTGCTCAGTCGCCGGTGCGATCCCATCAGCTGTCCAGAAGCCATAGCTCTGCTGTCAAAGATAGTGAGGCTGATCACTGCACAAAAAGCGTCCTACCTTTGCCTAATTGCTTCCTATGCTTGCCTGCCTCTGAAAGCCAAGAAGTATCGTAAAATGTGATTGAACGTTCTTGCGGCAGGTGGCAAAACACTGATACTTCTCTTGTAAATTCTGCACATCACCTACCACTGTTTGTAAACCCGACGGAAGAATGCAGAAACATCATCTCACCGCATCCGATGACAGTGATGAGCAGTCCCTCAGAGCAAATGCCCGTTGCTTGTGCAAAAAAAACGTGCCTCTCTCACTCTCTGCCCATATCCTGCTACTATGTTCAATTTGACTAATAGGCACTTGGGGTCTGGTGCTCTCTTAGTATGGGATGTGTGGCCACGATCATGCGTAGCAGTGGGCAGCCGTCTTTCTAGCTTGCCTTTGGGTCGGCTTTTGAACCTTGCGTTTCCTGGTTCTGCCCATTTCTGCTGCTTCTTCTTGCGCCCCTGGTAGTGTCGCTTGTCCTCCAGCATGTCCTATTCCTCTTCTTCAGCTAGCGGTGGTGCTCTTCTTCTTTTAACCACCTTTTCCTCCAGCTTCCTCTTCTTGTCAGTTGTCCTCCTTCAGCCGTTGACCCCATTGTTTCAACGGCAGATCCCCTTCACCTGGTGGGTGCAATTCTTTGCGCATTTGCGTTGGAGACACGCCCCCCTAGCATCCCCATGATCATGTCGGATCATCCTCCTATTCCTTCTTCTTCCACAGAGCTCTCGCCCCTCTTCCATCCTTCTCGAACCCTCGTGGTCTTACACCGCTCCTCCGTGACTGCGTGACTCCCTGTGTTCTCCCCAAAATTCCAATTGCTGGAAGGGACCCAAACCCGCTGGCAACCACGTGCAATCCCCAAATGACGTCCACTGCCGGTGACCCAAGATTTACCCGCAGCACGCACGCCAAGGAACAGCACGCACCAAAAATCCTTGGAAAGGAAAGAGCATTCTTGAGGCTCGCACTTCTTCTTCTTCTTATTCTTCTTCTTCTTCTTCAGGCTCTCTGCTTCTTCTTTTTCTTTCTGGTCTTCTTTAGGCTCCAAGCTCCCTTCGTAGAGAGCGTAGGGCCTCAGCCCCATAGCCGCGCCATCGCCCAAGCGGTCCAAGGTCTCGGGTCCGATGAAAGGCTGGGAACGGGGAATGGTCAACAAATGACTGACCTCCCCCCTGGATTCTGTGCTCCCTTGTTCAGGCTCTCTTCCTTTCTTTCTT